CAGCCAGTGGGTTAAATGAAAAATAAAAAAACAAATAACAGATTTTTTTATGTGTGTGATGGAGGAATCCCCCTGCTGGGACTGAAGTAGATTTACTAAAACTGGTGCAGCTGTGCATGGTAGCCAATCCGCTTTGAACTTCAGCTCATTCACTTGAGCTTTGACAAAAAAAAAAAACCCTGATTGTTTTTTATGCAGAGCTGCACATACAGTTTTATTAAGTCACTGTGTTCTGCCAGTGGCACACATCACTGTCAGAATACATTGATCAGTGGCTGCAGGTACATTGTGATGCAAACGGGAAAATTAAAGTGGTTTGCATAAATGATTATTGTAATATTAAAGTGGTTGTAAAGGCTCAAGATCCAATGATGTGCAAAAGAGCCTCAGCTCTCTGGGGACTCTCCCTTCTCATTAGCTGAGACAACAGAAGGAGACAGGGGGGTATGGGCCAAGCTACGGCTCTGTGTGTGAATGGGCAGGCAGAGCGGTGGCTCAGGATTGAGCCTGCTTGGGGAGGAGGATTGGTGCTGACATTTTGTGTTGCTGACAGTCCATCCTGGAAAAGATCCCAGCTTTAGCCACTAGCCTACAGGCACTTATACCCCCTTCCTGCCAGGCCAATTTCAGCTTTCAGCGCTGTCACACTTTGAATTGCGGTCATGCAACATTGTACCCATATAAAATTTTTATCATTTTTTTGAGACAGATAGAGCTTTCTTTTGGTGGTATTTAATCACCTCTGGGATTTTTATTTTTTCTTAAACAAACCAAAAAATACCACTTGAAAATTTTGAAAAAAAAAAGTTTTTTCTTAGTTTTTTTTATACAATTTTGTAAATAAGTGATTTTTCTCCTTCACTGATGTGCGCTAATGAGGCTGCAGTGATGGCACTGATAGGCTGCACTGATGGACACTGATAGGTGGCACTGATGGGCACTGATGAGGAGGCACTGGTAGGTTGCACTGATGGGCATTGACAGGCATCACTGATGGGCACCGAAAGGCAGCACTGATACATGACACTGATATATGGCACTCATAGGCAGCACTAATAGGCAGCACTGACTGGCACTGTTAGGCAGCACTGACTGGCACTGTTAGGTGGCACTGATAGGCGGCACTGATTGGCGGCACTGATAGGCGGCACTGACTGGCACTGATGGGTGACATTGAAAGGCAGCTCAGATGGGCACTGATATGTGGCATTGATGGCATTAAAATTCTGGTGCTGAAACAGATACTGAAAATTCAGAATGCATGTTGTGGCCGAAAACCGAACCAAAACCGAAATGTCTGCGTATATGGGGTGGGGAGGCTACATTTTTTTCTCTACTTTCATGTATTTTTTACTTATGATTTTATTGCTATCACATAGGTGAGCCACTATGTGATAGCATATGAGTGACAGACCATCTTTGTAGGGGGCAGGTGGTTGGGAGGGGCAGTGTGTGCAGGGAGGGGGGCAGGAGAGGAGCAGTGTATACAGTGAGGGGGCGGTGTATATAGAGAGGCTCTCTCACTGACTGTCACTATAGCTCACAGAATTAGCTGTCTCTCTTTCCCTGTAGTTTGTTTCTTTTAACTCTGGGAAAGAAACTAAAAGAAAACTTTGTTTCTTTTAGCTGGGGAGAAAGTGACAGCTAATTCTGTGAGCTATAGTGAAGAAAGAAAAAAGCCGGTAATTATATTTAAAAACCAGCACTGACATAGTGACAGCCAGTCACTGTATACACTGCTCCTCTCCTGCCTTTCTTAGACCCCCCCCCCCCCCCCCCACATCTGCAGTACACACAGTCTCCTGTATTGGCACCTGTATCAGCTAAATTTTTCCTATTGGCAAAATGCCGATAGGGTTATTTTCGGCTGATATGTTTCGGTGGCCGAAAGTTCGGTGAATCACTGCGTAAACTGTTGGCGCTATATACAGTGGATATAACAAGTCTACTCACCTCTGTTAAAATGTTAGGTTTCTGTGATGTAAACAAATAAGACAAAGATAAATAATTTCAGAACTTTTTCCAAAGAACAAAGGTATACCGCTCAGGCAAACACTCCAGATCAATCCACAACAGGTGCAGCACCAGGACACGAATACAGGACTTGTTAACGCATTTCACTTGATCTCCTGCTTAATCCAGATCAATCCAGACCAATCCAGATCAATCCACAACAGGTGCAACACCAGGACACGAATACAGGACTTGTTAACGCATTTCACATGATCTCGTGCTTAATCATAACAAAGAAAACAACAAAAGTGCTGTTTTTATATAGGTATTAGTTAATAAAGAACACTGTCCTAATCAGCACTCCTGATCCTGAGGGTACGCCTACTAATACATTGTAACAAGACATATAAAACCATTGTATCAAAAGTAGTGATCTCAGAGAACAACAAGAAAGGAAGAAAAGAAAAAAGGAAAGTGAAGTGGAATAAAAAGATAAAACAAAGAAAGAGAAAAAGAATAATGGATAAAAATAATTATGAAAAAATTATAAATGAAAATTAGAATAACAAACACAGATAAAAGTGAGTAAATTTCCAAGAAGATATGGGCTAAGAAGCCGCATTTGTAAAACACTCAAAATTTAAATCTAAATATATGCAAAAACGCATAACAAAAAAAAAACACGTGTCTACTTGGGATAAAATACAAAAAAAAATCACAAAAAAAATACATATTCAGACCGGGTTATATCAAAACAGCAGAAAAAAAAAGATAATATATCAAAAGTAACGCATCAAAAAACAAACGCATCAAATAACAAAAGGAACACATAAAAAAAAGAAAAAGAAAAAGGAAAATCCCAAAGGGAAAAAGAGATGGTATTAAAGATGTGTGTGCACATGAATATGCACATGTAAGGTGCATGATGTGCCAAATGAACGTGCATCCAAATAAACCAAGTAATGAAATATATGAAAGGATACATATACATACATATAAACAACTTGATAAGCATAATAAAATACATATATACACATACATACTTTTTCCACCTTTAATATGACCTAATAAACTGTACAACTCAATTGAAAAACAACTGACCTCTTTTGGGGGGGAAGGAAACATAAAAAACTAAAATAATGTGGTTGCATAAGTGTGCACACCCTTTTATAACTAGGGTGTAGCTGTGTCCAGAATTAAGCAATCACATTCAAAATCATGTTAAATAGGAGTCAGTACACACCTGCCATCATTTAAAGTGCCTCTGATTAACCCCAAATAAAGTTCAGCTGTTTAGTAGGTCTTTCTTGACATGTTCTTAGTCGCATCCTACAGCAAAAGCCATAGTCCACAGACAGCTTCCAAAGCATCAAAGAGATCTCACTGTTAAAAGGTATCAGTCAGGAGAAAGGTACAATAGAATTTCCAAGGCATTAGATATACCATGGAACACAGTGAAGACAGTCATCATCAAGTGGAGAAAAATATGGCGCAACACTGACATTACCAAGAACTGGACGACCCTCCCAAAATTGATAAAAAGACGAGAAGAAAACTGTTCTGGGAAGCTGCCAAGAGGCCTACAGCAACATTAAAGGAGCTGCAGGAATATCTGGCAAGTACTGGCTGTGTGATACATATGACAACAATCTCCTGTATTCTTCATATGTCGGGGCTATGGGGTAGAGTGGCAAGATGGAAGCCTTTTATTATGAAGAAAAACATCCAAGCCCAGCTAAATTTTGCAAAAACACATCTGACGTCTCCCAAAAGCATGTGGAAAATGTGTTATGGTCTGATGAAACCAAGGTTGAGCTTTTTGGCCATAATTCCAAAAGATATGTTTGGCGCAAAAACAACACTGCACATCACCAAAAGAACACCATACCCACAGTGAAGCATGGTGGTGGCAGCATCATGCTTTGGGCTGTTTTTCTTCAGCTGGAACTGGGGCCTTAGTCAAGGTAGAGGGAATTATGAACAGTTCCAAATACCAGTCAATATTAGCACAAAACCTTCAGTCTTCTGCTAGAAAGCTGAACATGAAGAGGAACTTCATCTTTCAGCATGACAGCGACCCAAAGCATACATCCAAATCAACAAAGGAATGGCTTCACCAGAAGAAAATTAAAGTTTTGGAATGGCCCAGCCATAGCCCAGACCTAAATCCGATGGAAAATCTGTGGGGTGATCTGAAGAGAGCAGTGCACAGGAGATGCCCTCACAATCTGACAGATTTGGAGTGTTTCTGCAAGGAAGATGTGAACAAATATTGCCAAGTCAAGATGTGCCATGCTGATAGACTCATACCCAAAAAGACTGAGTGCTGGAATAAAATCAAAAGGTACTTCAACAAAATATTAGTTTAAGGGTGTGCACACTTATGCAACCATATTATTTTTAGATTTTTATTTTTATTTCTCTCCACCTAAAAGATTTCAGTTTGTTTTTTTCAGCTGAGTTTGTACAGTTTATACGTTACATTAAAGGCGGAAAAAGTTCTGAAATGATTTATCTTTGTCTTGTTTTTTATGTCACAGAAACCTGACATTGTAACAAGTGTGTAGACTTTTTATATCCACTGTACATCCTGTATAATAATAATACTAATGATGAAAAAATCGGCAGATTGTTCCTCGTATGGCAATTTCCGTCAATTTTTTCATCACGTGTACGGGCCATAAGGGTCCATGGACCCCAATGTAGAGAACCTATGCACTTTTTCTGAACTCGTTTGACTAATGGAGCATTGCTCCCACCATGGCTTTCATGTATCTGCAGCTGTGGTTCAGCAGCCCTCACACCTAGGTGTGGGATAGGCAAGCTATTGTTTACAGCAACTACAACGTGTTCTATTACAGAGGCACATCCTCTGACTGACTGACATGCTGAGTCCTCTCACAATGGCTCCAGGGCGGGGGGCGTGGCTTGGAAGGCAGCACACTTGGATTGGGCACACCCAGAAAATCCAGAAAGATCACATATCATTAGGAAGGGTGCTGCTCAATGCGAGACACAAAGGAGGGGAGCACAGGAAGGCTGGAAGCATGTCTCTAGCTTCTCTCATTTCTTTCCTGAAAAGCAAGGAGTCCATCATCTTCAATGCCCTAGTAGCTCTGCTGACGGTGGGCGGCCAGCAGTTGTTCTCCTTCTTCGCCTTCAGCTGCCCGTGTAGCCCCACTGATAACCTGAGGTATGGACTGGCTTTCCTGGGGGTGCCCGCCCTGCTCCTGCTCATTGTGGGGGTCATCTTCAATGACAACACATGGAGGCTGTTCATGGGGACGACGTACGACGTGTCCATCCAGGAGAGGAGCCGGCAGAGTCTCCTTATGAAGTACAAACTCCTCTGCTTCGTGCTGGGGAACATCCTGGGCAGAGCGCTGGTGGCTCCAGTCACGTGGCTGGCGGTGACCCTGCTGAACGGCGCCTACTATGTGTGTGCGGCCAGCGAGTATACCGATGTCCAGAGGTACGACATCTTCAGAGGGATGAGTGCGGAGGACAGGAGGAGGACCCTGGCTCAGTTCCCGTGTCCGCAACTAGTGTTCAGCAACTTCAGCAGAGTCCGGGAGGAGATAGTGCTGGAGCTCAAGTACCAGTCACAGGTATTCCCTCATGAAGCGTCTCTTCATCCTTCTAGGGAAAGGGGCCCAGAACAACCAGTCAGCAGGGCTTACAACTACACTGGATTGGCAGTCACTTAGCCCTTCTCCATCCTGTGAGATTTCAGTGTATAAAGCTAGAACCTTCTTCTATTGTGTATGTAAATGAGTAATACATCACTTGGGCTGCATGCACACAGCGTATTCATATAGGATCTGGAGCCACAAGCTGGCAGAAACATCCTGCAGAAGTAATGCTTGGTCCGGTGCGTAGTTACGTACATCTTTACGCATGACACCTATGTGCGGAATTTCATTCTATCGACCAGATCAGGCGTCGCCAAACTTTTCAGTCTGAAGGCTACACTAAGTTTTCAAAATATTTGCAACAACCCCAAAAAATCCCCATCAAGCCCTCCCACCTTTATATCAGGTTCCCCAGTAGAATCCCCATCAGGGTCCCCGATAGAATTCCTCTTACATCAGAATCCCAATCAAGGTGCCCCCTTTAGATCAGGGTCCTCAACAGAATCCCTCTTACATCAGAATCCCCATCATGGTCCCCGATAGAATCTCCCCATACATCAGAAAACCCCATCAGGGTCCCCCCCTTTACATCAGGGTCCCCAATAGAATCCCCCCTATGTCAAGGTTCCCCTTTAGATAAGGGTCCCCAATAGAATCCACCATACATCAGAATCCCCATGAGAGTCCCCCCCTTTACATCAGGGTCCTTGATAGAATCCCCCTTATATCAGAATCCCCATCATGGTCCCCAATAGAATCCCCCTTACATCAGAATCCCCATCAAGGTGCCCCCTTTAGATCAGGGTCCTCAACAGAATTCCTCTTACATCAGAATCCCCATCAGGGTCCTCTATAGAATCTCCCCATACATCAGAAACCCCATCAGGGTCCCTCCCTTTACATCAGGGTCCCCAATAGCATCCCCCGTATGTCAAGGTGCCCATTTAGATAAGAGTCCCCAATAGAGACCGCCATACATCAGAATCCCCATGAGAGTCCCTCCCTTTACATCAGGGTCCCCAACAGAATCCCCCCTATGTCAAGGTGCCCCTTTAGATAAGAGTCCCCAATAGAATCCGTCATACATCAGAATCCCCATGAGAGTCCCTCCCTTTACATCAGGGTCCTTGATAGAATCCCCCCTTATATCAGAATCCCCATCATGGTCCCCAATAGAATCCCCCTTACATCAGAATCCCCATCTGGGTCCCCCCCTTTACATCAGGGTTCCCGATAAAAATCCCCCTTTACATCAGAGTCCCCTTCACATTAGCATCCACATCAGGGTCCCGATAGAATCCCCCGATATTCAAATCCCCATCAGGGTCCACAATAGAATCCCCTGTACATCAAAGTCTCCTTTATATCAGAATCCCCTTTACCTCAGAATCCCCGTCAGAGTCCCCCCCCTTTACATCAGGGTCCTCAATAGAATCCCCCTTTACATCAGAGTCCCCTTCACATTGAAATCCCCATCAGGGTCCCCAATAGAAACTTCTTTCCAGATATCAGGGTCCCCAACAGAATTCCCCCTTATGTCAGAATCCTCATCAGAGTCCCCTTTATATCAGAATCCCCATCAGGATTCCCCCTTTACATCAGAGTCCTCAATAGGATGCCCCTTATGCCAGGATCCCCTTCAGGGTCCCCTTTACAGCAGAGTGCCCATCATAGTCCCCACCTTACATCAGAATCTCTGTCAGAGCCCCCCCCCCTTACATCAGTCTCCCCTATTGAATCCCTCCTTATGTCAGATCCCCATCAGGGTGCCCATCTAATTCCCCCCCCTTACGTCAGAATCCCCATTAGGGTCCCACATCCCCTTCACATCAGGGTCCCAAATAGAATCCTTATATCAGATCCCCATCAGGGTGCCCGTCATAGTCTGAAGATCCCCCCCTTACATCAGAATCCCCATCAGGGCCCCCCCTTTTATATTTAGGTTCCCCTGCAGTATGTTATATTAACTCCCAAGTAATAATAACTCCCCAGTCATTTTTATATATGTAATAATAACTATATGTAATAACTCCCCTAGTTTTTAAGAAGCTAAATTACATAAAATATGAAAGTAAGAGCTTAAATTGATATGCCTTATCTGTTAATATATATGTAAGAGTGTTACCAGGTTTTAATTATTCAACGTTATCATTAATTATTTGGAGAATCGATTCTTTAAACCGCCAAATTCCCAGTTACTTTAATAAAAATCTACAATGTAAAAACTTTAAAAAACCCATCGTTAGTCTCATTTATTTAATAATAAACATTTCATTCAAAAATTTAATTTATTTTAGATAACTTACGCCTTTTTCTGTTTGGGAGTTATTATTACATAGAGTTATTATTACATATATAAAATTGACTGGAGAGTTATTATGTCATATATAAAAACAGGGTGGATTTGATTTAAATCACGATTTAAATCACTAGTCAGTAAGGCTTGATTTAAATCCTAGTTTTCTACATAGACTAATTCTTGCTGGTATAACTTTAATATGCAAGTAGATGAAGATTTTTAGAATAACTTTTCATATTAGTTTTTTTTATCCCCAGTTTAATGGGTTAATCATTCATATTTGGACAACTTTTCTGTTGTACTTAGGAAGGAGAAAAATAATCATTACCTTAATAATAACAATTTAAATAGATTTATTAATCTGAAACAATAACATTCCAGCATATTTTATTTGCTTAAACAAACATCCATGTTTGTTAACTAATTTGGCTAAACAAAATATATATAATTTAAGAAACTTAGACTGTCAGCCCCTTCCTCCTCACACTTAGTTTCACTTTCTTCTTGTGCAGATCTATTCCACTCCAAACAATCAGAAAAATATATTGTTTCTATTCTATTCACTGAACTTCTTGAAACTTAGCACTGAAGGGGTTGATTCTGTATTCATAGGTTTGTAGAAGTTAGGATTAAGGTGTTTTTCTTAATTCTGTTCATGTTATAACATTTTTGAAGAAGAGGCATGTGATCTCCGAGAGTCAAATTTAGTTTTGAGAACTGCAAAAAAGTAAACCAAGCATCTGTGATAATATCATCTTGTAGGCAGAGAAACTGCCCAATAATCTTACAAATACCTCTGGAAGAGCATGACATTGTGAATGGATTCATGGAATTTATTTTACCAAAAAAATTAAACATATACAGCCTTATTCTACATAAATAAAAAACTAATCTTTATTTCATGATGGAATAACCTTTGGATGGTAATATATTTTCCTCAAAAAGCATTTTATTAAAAAAAAAATCCGATTTAAATTAAAAAAATCCAATTTTTTTTTTTTTTTTTTTAAATCATTGATTTTTATCCACCCTGTATAAAAATAACTGGATAGTTATAATAATATATATAGTAATGACTGGGAAGTTATCTTCCAGGAGAGTCATATTATATACGGTACACACCCCCCATAGAATTCCCCCATACATCAGGATTCCCATCAGAGTCCCTCCTACATCAGGGTGGCCATCATAATCCCACTTGAGTTAGGGTCTATATCAGATCCCCCCCATTACATCAGGGTCTCCCATCAGAAACCCTTCCTTGCAAAAGGGTCCCCATCCATCATAATCCTCACTTTAATCAGAGACCTCATCAGAGTTTCCACTTAGGCAAGCTATAGATTTTTCAATTTTCCTTCCTTCCAAAAAAAAATCTCTCAATTCCCCAATCACACACGGTCAGTGCTGATGGCGGAATTTCTCCTGCAGAGGTAGTGTGTTCTGGCAGGGGGTGCGTGGGGAGCCTTCCCAGCCGGCAGAACACAATGGGTACAGTTATCAGTTTAGCCACTGACAAGTAATTGCATGTAATAAATCCTACAGGCTGGTTGTACCCAAGTCAATCATGGGATCAACTTGGGAACAACTAGCCTGGCCATAGATGGATTGAATCCCTGTTGAACTGGAAGAGATTCAATGCATCTATGTTCTGCATTTCCGAGACCAGGTGCAGGTTGGGGGAGGGGTCGTTGCAGTGGATACCATAGGCAGTCTGCTGACCTTTTATCCTCTATCTGCACATTTAGGATATACCACTGACCCTTGCTGTAGATCACAAAAAGTCATCTTGAATATTAATTTGTTCTTGACTGACGTTATGCATGTTAATGCAAAAATTATGCCAGTATACTTCTCACTGAACACAGGTTTTTGAGTAGTTTTTTTTATTATGCCCCTAAACCACTGCTCTAAAATACAAATCAAAGGCATAAAAAAAGTAAGCAGGTTTTCGAACAGCCACGTTTTTTTCTGTGCACACAAGCATGAAGCTCTAGAGCTCTTTCACATAGGTGTTCTGTTCAAATCTGCCTGCCGGTTCTTCAGTCAGATCTCATCTGACACTAGGTTCACACCTATGCATGTTGCGATTGATGCGTTTTTTCCCAGGACGTTTTACGGTGCGTTTTTGAACATGCATTTTAGCACATTTTTAATGCTTTTTTTAATGTGTTTTAGGTTTTTTTGGGAAGTTTGGTGTTAGGAGGAGGTGTTTGTTGTCATGCAGGTGAAAAACACAAAACACAGCGGAAATGCATCAAAACTGCAATACCTGCGTTTTTGATGTGGCTCCATTTAATTCTGTTGAACCAAAAAATGCAAACTGCTGCGGGAAAGAAAGAAAGTCCCTTGCCCTTTCCAAAAAACACACTGGCTAAAAACACAGATGTAAATGTGAACCATAGGAAATCATGTTAAATGGACTGTGGTGCTTTTCTGCAAACGAAATGCACTGGAAACCACACAAGTGTGAACCTAGTCTAAAGCTCCATGTTAATGGTGGCCATACACGCTTTGATAAATTATTGATCAGTATACAATACAGTCTATTCTATGCCACACACAGGGAAGTGAATTTTGATCGATACTTAAGATATATAATTTATTATCATGTAATCTCATCATTTGATCGAAATATGATTGTTCACATGCACAAAGCATCTCTGTGCTGCTGATTGATGCAAAACAATCAATAATATTCTGCCCTGTTTGATCAAATCTAAATTGAGTCTAAATCAATTGGAAGTGAAGTTCTGGCTATTTGATTGTTTGTGGATTC